TCGTGCATATTGCTACGTGTCCGGTCGTGACCTTGACACGTACCCTAAACTCCTTCACTTTTTGACGGTTGGAACTTGGTGGTATGGATAACGTAATTGAATTTTGCGCCCTGAATGAACCAGATTATTATAGAATGAGAATGAAAAATATAATCGTTATTTAGACTCATACAAGAAATAGAAATTTGAATTTAAATGTTGATATGATTAATAACTGTCATATTTTTTTTTTAATAAGATAATAATGTAGATCAAACGTGGGCTAAATGTTAGAACATGACACCACTGTCCCCTCACAATGAGAGGGGCCCGAGGTGAATAAAATAATGGGCGGGCCCCCCATTGTTGGGGGAGGGGTCGGGTCTCAACATAATTTTGTACTCCAAATAGATAAAAATTAATTTTTCAATAAATAAATTAATAAAATATGTTTTTGAAAAATTATGGATCAATAAAATATATTTTTAAAATTAATTGTCAACATTAACTTAAATTTTAATATAACCTTCCATGGAACCATTGATTAAGGATATTTTAACTACGGCTTAACTGTATCTTATTACTTATATGCTAAGTAGACATTTTATTAATTTATAAAACTAAAATAATAATTTATACGAAAATTACTGTTAAAATCTTGTATTTCGTGTAAATAAAATATAAAGGCAACATAAATTTTAATTTCTTCTAAATGGAAACATCATACATTTTTTTTATATTCTTTTATTGAGCAAATCTACATGCAATTGATTGATTCTCAATGTCAATATAAATTTTTTAATTAATTTGAAGTCATTTTTTATTTTTTTATTTTTTTCTATATCCAGAATCATTGATGAAGTATAATGTTTTATACAAATAATTCATTTTTGAATTGATTGAAGTGGAATGACTATTTAATTTCTCACCAACTTTAAAAGATGACCCAAAAAATGTAAAAACTTATAGAGAGATGATCTTTTTAATTCATGGATAACAAATTTAATTTTAATATTAAGATTCACTATAAACTTATTTATCAATAGATTGATAT